TGACGCCGGAGACATCTTCGACTACGTTTTCATTTCTATTGGAACGTAGAGGAAGGTTGTGGGGTAGCAGCTCTGAGTGGATGGCCACTTATTCGCGACTCCGACGCATGTGGACGCGTGACTTGTCATGACGCTAAATCAGTCTGAAACAGTTATAGTTAAAAGCAAATACAGGTGCAAAGAAGGTTGGGGAATCAGATATTGATCCCAATATATTATCATCCATCCGCTTATGAACCTCTCCGTCTCGTGTAAAGCAACACTAATATACAATATCGTAGGAAGTGAGGTGGTTATAATCGTCATTATTCTTTATCCCAGACAATGTTTTATGTTTTTGATACTAGGAAGAGACCGGTATTCCGTGGGTTACTGTGCACGTTGCTGGTGCTGAACCGCACGGACTTAATTTTTTCGCGTTAAATGGACTCGTTTGCCCCTGGTCAGGTGTGATAACGCGTGTCTAAGTTGTTTACTGCCATTTAGACAAATCTGGCCATCACAATTTGCAAGTAGTTTTTAAGGTTCAATGGGTACTCGGAGATTTTATATAACCCCTTAATTTAGAAGTTCCAGGCTGACTAACTACCCGCTTTCTCATACCACAGGATCGTGAAGGAGGTATGTTGACCAACAAAATCCACACTTTTCTCGCGAAGCCAATAACATGGGAGTAAATCTAAATGGGTTATCAAAGAGTGAGCATCCTTTGCACAAACCGGATTTAGTTGAAATCTGCAGGAAAAGTGCTGTGCGTAGGCGCACCCCTAGACCGTCGCAGTAGAATAATCTCACAGACAATAATAGACTGGACTTGAGAATTAGACAGAATAAACCGTGTGTTGGCGTAGATGTGGGGCTTGCCGCGACAGATCAAACATATGTCGCACTTATATATGTAAAATTAGCGCCGTCGGTGTTTTGACCTCGTCCGGCGGCGTTTTTTTGGAACGTCAGATTACCGAATTTTGGCAGTTTGTCAGAAATGTCTACTTGAATATTAATAGTACAGACTTTTGCGGGTTGTCTGACAGTCTCAGATAGGTTGTTTGGACCGTTTGTTACGAGGAGCCATGGCCTGCCACTGTATGCAATCATGCCATACAGCAGGACATACTGCAATTGTTTTATAGGTTTTCAGCATTTGAGTTTTTTTACACTGATCGCTTGTCTCACGTGAAAATAACGCTAGTATTTCTTTCCACATTTTGCATTTGAACAAGATTAGTTGGTTAGATATTACCCTGCTTACCCTTGTCTGTGCGTTACCAGTATTCTCTTATATCTGTATTTACTTGTCTGAGGCCTTTCCCATACTTTGAATCCAGTTTGACGGTCTAATTCCTTGTCTCTCCCCATCTTTCTCCTTCCTCCCCTCTCCCTTCTCCATGCATCAGCTATGCGCAGACACTATCTCCTTTACTCTGCTTGTTTTTGTAGTTCGCGTCAATGTGTCTTCAGGTGACTTAGTGTTCGCCGAATATCAGTCACTGGACGACTTGCTGAAAGCCTATCCCAGTTTTAGGTGAGTTATAACGCACCCACACAAGTACGTTCTACCCCCGGTTTACTGCACCCGGTTAGGAGCGGCCACTTTTTGCCTAGTGATTAACAATGAAAGTCATTTTTTGTACACCGTCAGTAGACCCTTATTTTTGACTCACAGATATCCCCTTTCGTGTCTCCCTCATCGATTAGCCTCACCCGTAGCATCTTTGTGTACATCAAAAACGAGTTAACTTGCGCTCTCATACCTTGTCCCACCGATTCCAGAAGCTCTCAAGGGGGACGGGCACTCACTGTGATTTTGGCCGCAGGATGACAAACTCAGCTCAGGCTCCTGTAGGTTGATGCATGGCGACGAAGGAGCTCGCCGACGGACTGCGCTAGGCCGGATCAGATATTTCTGGCTTTGTTATCGTTAGGCATAGGGATATGGCTCAAACAAACCAGTTGGATTGCGTGAACCAAAGTTGCACGCTCCGTTGACCGCAACTGGATAGTATTCGGGCCGTGACTATTCTGCCACCCAATTTCAAATAATTGTTGCGTGAGGCGTAGTCGCATCAAAACAGCAGATTGCAGTTTAAGTCTGCACGCTTTGCTAGCCATCCAGAGATACAGATGACGGACCACTGGAAGCAACTCTTACTGCCATTTTTGTTCATCTCAGAGTGCTTTTAAATCTTCTACAACTACGACCAAGTGCAAAACTAGCTTTTAACAAGACCCTTTGCTAGGATTTGGAAATACATTATCTGATAAGTCGCATGAAATGTTTACGGAACTTTTGAAATGTGTCTTCACCTAGAAAGGCTTACTTAGGTGGGGTTGTAATAGTAATCGTCATGCAGCATGATCTCAAGATATTTCAGTCAGGCTGGGATGCCGGATTTTGATTTAGCTTCATTCTTGTCACTCGGCATAAAATAACTGCTTAAGTAGTACACATGTTCCATATTGGATTTCGATGCCGATTTATACAAAACATGCAAAAAATAATCTTTCATGTGCTCGTTTGGCAGAAAATGAGGTCTTCTTCAAATTTTGTGCTTGAAGAAAAGGTATCTTTAATTTCTTGAAAGCCCTCAATTTCCGAACGCCTTTAAAGCCCGGGCTACAATTGCACTGGCTCCTAGGCTCTCCAAATTGTATGCCGTATAATTTCTGTTAAGCAAAATCACACACTTCGCTAGGCTGTCGAGCAGAGGTCATATGGGACTCATGAAACTATTAATTGGATGTGGGCTAGTTTTGTATTCCACATAAGCAGCATTAGTAAAGGTACAGACACGGTGCTGTAGGAAATGACGTTCTTGAAAATCTCATAACTGCGAATTTTCTATAAATCGAGAGATACCCTTTTCAAGTATAAAATTTGAAGAAAACGTTAATTGCTGCCAAAGAAGTACAAAAAAGTATTTTTACGCATGCTTCCCATAAAATATATCTGGATTTATAAGGGTATCAAAGTCAAATGGGGGAAAGTTCATACTACCTAAGTATTCACTTTATGCCGAGCGTGGTTCTTTGGACGACCGGAATAAAGCCTAAGCCGGAACCGACATCCTGGCATGACTGAAGTGATCAAGCAGATGGGCAGCCCTAGCAACACCCGCCCGGCGTCCTCGGTTGGTTATCTCGACGCCAACGCAAAGCAGGACCGGGTTCGGCCGAGGTGACAGCTGGAGCAATTTATCTTTTGGGTCGGCGGAGCACATGATCGAGCTGTCCCAATTTTTGAATAGGTTGGGTACCTTTGAAACCATCTAGTCGTTTTTGGGGACGTAGTCGAAAAAGGGAACTCAGAGGATAGGGCGCGGGAACCATCGATCAAATGCTTTCTGACACTGCAGATCTGGGCATGCGGGCCGCGTTCCACATCCGATTAAAGGATTGTCATGATGGAAGTTCTGCGTACTTACAGCTTAATTTTCAGCTTGGTATCCAGCCGCTTCTAAAGGTTTTGACAGGGACTAACGAAGACTGTTCGCCCCCAGCTGGTCCAACAGTCGAGTGGAATTGTTGGTCCGGCTTCAGATCATTTTTTAATTTCGTGCTTTGAATGTACACGGATTACCGACTCCGGTTTAAGCAGGCAGCGGTCAGCTGGCATGGCTTCGATCATTTTGAGCGGGGGCAACTCGAGGACTGAACAAATCAGATGCCCATTCAATCGACCATTCTTGACTGAACGACTAGAATTGCGGTGAAGTCAATGAGAGCAACCGTAAGGTCGATCAGAAGTGATCGATGCAGTCGTTGATCCAGCGGGCAGCCTGACTGGTCACTTCACATATTTACTTAGCCTACACTGACTTTCTGACTGGCTCTTGAGGTGAATCTGATTGCACTACCGTTGCACTGAGAACTCGGTGGACAACTTATTGGCGAAAATCAATCCTATTAAGCCTGGATGTGGTTGGGGATATGTCGTTTTGCTGTGCGTTTCACTTCCGGGTAACACAGCTCGTCCCACTGTTGGGAAAGCGAGGCCATCGATGAAGTTCCTCAAAAGTTGTATTCTTCCGGCCTAGATGATTTCCTTTTGATTCGGGCCTTCGTTTGTCCAACTTTGGCAGACCCATTAAATCAATGTGGGTAAGATCGCGGTTGGTAGCCAGACATTATACGTTGATACTGCCGATGTACGTACTTGTTATCAGTAGGTGTGCTCATACTGAGTTAGCCAGGTCGCCCGTTTCGGTCAGGCTGTTGGGTTTAATGAGGGTTAGGGTTAAGCCTAGGTTCAGTTGTGGGATTAGGGTTTACGTTTTAAGGTCAAGTTTGAGTGTTAGTATAAGGGTTTAGGTTCCCGTTAGGGTTACGGTTAAGGTTAGGGTTAAGGTAAGGGTTAAGATTGAGGTTAGGGTTAGGATGAGGCTAGGTTTTCGGTTAGCGTTGGGTTTTAGGATTTTGGTTACGTTTCGGCTTTGAGGCTCAGGGTTATGGTTTACGGTTGCGATCGGAGTTGTATTTTAGGGTTAAGCGCACGGTTTAAATTTCTGCCATTATTCCACCTTCTTAAAACTCCCCAGCACTTTCCATGGTAACTTAACGTTTACGCAAAATCTCCAGCATTCCTCTACCGGCTCTTCCATTTACCCCACCCATATGACCACCTTTCCCACCATTCCCGTACGACAGGGACCTGGCTGTCCGCCTCCCCATTCCTGGCTACCAACTGCGATCTAACCTCGATCTGTTCGACATCTCTACACGCCCATACTCAGATTTTTGTTTTCACACGTTTATATGTTCTGTCTTATTGTCCACGCTCACAGCCCTCATTCGTCTTATGAAACTGCCATTAACTCGACAGTTAGCCCTTCAAAAAGTACTTTTTTGAAATCATGGGTAAAGCCTGCTACCCACAAACTGCCAAAAGTTACCCGTCAATTGTCTCAGCTGCCCACGAATCGAAAGAAGTGTGGCAAAGCATCAGTATTCGTCTCCAGGACGCGTACGCTGTCACGAAGGCTCCCAAGCTTTCATCTTATTTCCACTTACACTTTTAGTCCGAACAAAAACCTCTCCGTGTTATCTACGATCCTGTCAGAACTGCAGACGTAAGTGAGCACTTTCGCGAAAATTTTATGCATAGTTTACTTGTTGGTGATGACTTTTCACACAATCATTTCTCCGGACTACTTAATGGAAATTTAGGAAAACACATGCTCACACGAAGGAGACAAATTACGTCAGCCTGAAGTAAATCTGCATGACATCCTTATTACCGAAGTACATTGTATTGCGTTTGTAAGAAGTGACGAAAATGTCCAGCATCCCAGGGGGAGGGACGGCAGTGGTGACTCGCACGTCAGTTGACTTATAGTAAGGGACCTTTCACAACATTTACCTCACACTCTTTCGTACGCCCTTCTGTCTTAGTTGGAGGACAGATAGGGATGGGCACGGTGTCCAGTGCGACTAACCCCTCGTATCTACCCGTCGAAGGCGTGTTGTTACTTGCATGTCCACAAACCGGGATTAAATATATCGGGTCTATGAAGGCCACCTTGACAGGTAGTTTTGGCAGCCTGACCCACAGTTTGCAGGTTGATCGTGCTACCCTATCTGCTGACAACCCGTCAAGCCACGGCTGTTGGCTTGTCCGGCTAGTCCAGTAGCCTAACGAATTTTAGTAGTAAGGCCCTGCCCACGTTAGATTGTTCTCATCTATTCCACTCTTCACGTGTCTGTGGGAAATACGAGTCGAGCCTTCTGGTACTCATGCTGACGACGATGACAATGGTGATGATGATGATGATGCTGCTGCTGCTGCTGCTGCTGCTGCTGCTGCTGGTGATGATGATGATGATTAATGCAGGAGTTGACTTGGAATAGAGCCCCCATCTGCCTCGCGCCACCTGTTTGTGTTGCTCGAACCCAACTCCGGTCGTCTTGATACTGTCCCGCCTCCAGAACTGAGGGTGGGGGACGGGGGCGGGGTAAGGGGCAAGCGAGTGCAGATGTTGCGAAAGTCTACTATCGCTGTAATCTGATTCACGCGCCAGTCACCGGTGCTGTCTCCCCCAGTATGGCACGCGGTGAACATCGCACGCGACGATCGCATCTGTCTGCGCGGCATTTGTTCAGGTCTAATGCAGCAACACAGCCTGAATTGTTGAATAATGATCATACACTATGGATAAAGGAAGTTCTCAGAAGAGATTATTTGTATAGCAAGTTGTTCGCGTTCATGTTTGGAGTACAAGGACTACGAAGGTTCTTCTGTGACATGTTCACTGTCTTTTTTTCTAATTCGCATCGGCGGGAGTTTCATTCCGAAATCATTAGACAACGGATGATTTTTTTGATGTACCTGTTGAAACAACTCAAGGACTTGAGCTGAATCACCTTTTGAACGCGCAGTCTGGACAGTACAGGCAACGACATATAGTAGTTGGATAGCTTTGTGACTGAGATTTTGGTTGGGCGATGCTCTTTCTTTTCAACGGACAACCGTGCCTCAAGTTTCAGACGCGTGCTCAGGTACTTCTTTAATCCTAAATACTCGTGTGATGACCTCTGAATCAAATATTTTTAACGGACTTGAGTTCATCTAAATGCCTGCTATTTTGATTTTTCGCGTGCAGTCGTCTGCCGTGGACACTGGGGTGGTAATCCAGCGCCTCCAAAACATTTGAGTCCTGGCTGGAATGTGCCTTGTCCTGTGACTGGGGGGTAGATTGTATGTACTCCAACCCTACTGGCACACCCTTAAGTCATCTGCCTTTCTGTCGTTGGACTGGGGCACTTCTTGTCGATGACATGAAGTACTCCACGAGAACGACCAGTCGAACTTCAAGTGTGTTTTCCGGTAAACTTTTTGAAATGAAGGAAGTACCTTATAGGCAAGTAAATAATTTCAGGGTCTATTCAGTGCAGGAGATGGAGTGCAGTCTCGAAGACGTGACTTTTATGGTCAGATCCGAAACTTCAAGAACATTCGAGTCGAAGACAATCAACTACGATGGAATAACTGCTAAATGTCCATTCTACAAGCAAGTAGTGCTGCTTGTAATATGAAATCTATGTAGCAAAGGTATTATACCATATCCCCCACGTAGGTGCTCGCTAAACGCTCAGACATGTGTTTTGCCGACATTCTGCCGCTGCGTGGCCTAGCTGTGAGGGGTTTGGCTTCTCAGTGGGTCCTCCAGCGTACTGTATGTAGTTTCTGATGTATGAAATCCAGAATAGGCATTACGTGGTTATTCCACAGTAGTTACTTGCCATCGACTCGAATTTTTATTGAAATTTCGGGTCTGGCCCTAAAAGTCATGTTCTGGAGACTTGACACCATGTCCTGCACTGAATAATTTCCGAAATTATTTCCTTGATTATTCTCTAGAATTCATATGCCAGAAACCGCATAGAGAACGTCGGGGTACCCACTGAGGAACCGAAACCCTCGCAGCGGCAGGTTATCGGCGAAACATGTGTCTGGGCTTTAAGCTAGTACCCCCGTCGAGAGTGCGGTATAATACCTTTGCCATATCTAACAATCTTCCAATATATCAGCGCGGAAGGAAGAAGGATCCTGCTCGGTAACCGAGTAGTGACAGCTGTCTCTAGTAAAGCAGAAGGGTTAAAACTACCCCGCTTCGTCCCACATCAACCTCTTCTACGTGGAGTTACTCCCAAAATAGCCAAACCGCTTCGTATTTCCTCTGTCATCAATCTCGTTCGTTTTCTGAATTTTTGTAACGATTATGTCCCATATTAAATAAGGCTAGTTGAGTCCTTTCTTTAGTCGTTTTGGTGGAAGGGAACTGTGAGCTGTATTCCGTCTCATGCTCTAATGGACCTCGCTCGTCGGTGGCCTACGGGACTCCCACAGCCTTCCAGTTTTTCTCTCACTTTTTGTCGCCATACCTTTGATTTTTCTTGTTCAACCGTCAGAACCTTCTGATCTTTTTTAAATGGTTTTCAGCTTGCCTGAGGGGGAATATCTCCTTAGCTCCGGACAAAAGAATGGCTCAACCGTATTCGAGATTTACCAGTCCGTTTCTAAAGGAAAGACTGATATGGACGCGTAAGTTCGCTCTGCCCCTTGTCCATCGCCCCCAGGCCCTGCGTATTGTGACCTTTTACTCCCGTTTGGTCGTTTTTTGCTAAAGCGACCGAATTGACTGTGTCGCATGCATTCATGTGTTAGCAGAAGATGATAACTAGTCCATGCCTCCGGATGTCGAAGCGCGTCTAAGTTAGTTCAGTATACTTGAGGGTAGTAGGGGGTGACTTTGGCTACTCCGTCAGTCAGAGGAATTTGCCGACAAGAAACGACAACAAAACCTAACGAATTAGATCATTATTACTCGATAATAACTAGTACAGATACGGAGAATTGCTTTTTAATTCGGCCAAAGGAAAATATGTCCTGTCTGTCGCATCCCTCGTTGGCAAGGAATTGTAAAGCAAATGTTTCGTGAGGGACTACTGTTCCCATCTTACCCTCCTAAACAGAAACTTCGGTTTCACTTAGTACGGTCTTCATGTATTTTTTGATTTCAAGGGAGTTTGGATGTTCACAGTTAGACAAAACGGCGAACCAGCCAGATTGTTCGATCGATCTTCTTGGAGAACACACGACAAAACGCCCTAGAACTCCTACAAATGCCACCATCAGGCGTGCTGCCGTTGTTGGACGCGAAGCCACTGATGCTAGTATTTGCGGTCCAAGTCAGCAACGCACTGTACCTAGTATCGGAAAGCACCGTGTGCAGACCCAGGTTTCATTAATGCTATCCCTTGCGCTTCGTATGGTGTGCCTCGCGTCTGAGAACCGTTCTGTGGTGTGGCTGTTCATAACACTTGAGGAGGACCTGCGATCGGTTGAAGAAGAATTTTATTTACCTGACATTTCAGCTTCTCGCTCCAACCCATCGTCTGAGACAGCCACAACCAAGAGTGATGGACGCACAAGGATTGCAGTAGTCAAAAGGTCCAGTTGTCACGCCACCACATACTTGTTGTAATTAGTGGCTCTCACATTTAGCACCAACTGTCGTACTTCATGCGATGATTACTTGCTCACCTTCATCCGGTTCCGTAATTACCGCAATTTCACCACCGGTGTTGATCATTGGGGTTATATTTACTTAGAAATTTGACTCACATACTGTTACTGGAACCGACGGTTGCCCGCACCTATCCCGCAGTAAAATTCAAGCCCTGAATATAGAAAGGGGAGGTAATTGCGCCACCGGGTCAGTGAACCGTGATGGAAGCAGATCGCCGCTCATGCAGTTGCCGCGTCTTGCGAGAATTTTTGCCTTGCCGAAATCGGGTATGAGCTGGCCATGCCGAATCAACCGAGACCTGAAAACTGACGTCATTCCTCACTGCTGTTGCATGTTTAACCATTTAAGTCCGGAGTAGTTTTTCAGTTTCCCTGCCGTAGTTGCTTTGTCCGCAACCGTACCATATCCGGTAAATGACTCTAGATGTTTCCTTTCGTGGCAGTGCACCTGTCGACTTCATTACTTAGCGCTGGCTAGTTGTCTCTGGTCTTTGCGCAACTCCAAGTGGCCCGAGAAGACTAATGAGGTATTCCGCTCACCGAAACTCCTGGCCGATGCGATTAAGTAGTGGTTTGCTCATAAGCGGAACTAACAAGTCATCGTCAGACGCAGGTAGTCAAGCAGGGCATTTGCAGTGTTTGCAGAATATACTGAAGAAGCAGCTTAAAAGGGACATTTTGTCTAGAGTTGAAGCCCAGCGTCGAATGGAACGTTGGAAAATTGGAGCGGCCAAGAATGTCCATCGTAGAAAACCTTCTTCCGGACTTCTGAAAAAGAACAAATCGATGTAGAAGCTTGGAAAATTGCCAGCCAACTAGCACAGCCATCATAGACGGGCAGATTGCTTTGTAATTAAATCCACAAGGGCGTCATTTGTCGAGAATGTTTGACATCAGACACTAGACGCCAGGGCGGTTAGGGCCTGGTCGCAGGATGTGCAGACTCAGATGGTCGCATAGCAATGGAAAATCAGTTATAGGCTAAACGAGGGGACCGGTCGACAGAACCTGGGTCCATGTCCCAATTTAGGACATTTAATCACAAAGTCACCAATACCTATTGAACACCCAGGTTTTGTTTACCGTTAACTTCTTGCAACAAGTGCCCATTTTGTCCTTAGACAGGGTTTTATATACCCAATTTTATAGGAAATGTCGTGGAAAGGAGGCAGTTCCTTAAGCACTTGCGAAGTTAGACACATCCAGCCTGACAGGATCCCCAAGTTGATGGATTTTGCTTTTCTCGGCGAGTTGTTTTATCCCCCAGTTTCTCCTTCACAGTACAGATTTTATCGCAATGCACACGCTGCGTATCGTGCATGTTGCTAAGCCCCGTGGTTAATGCGTGCGCTCACATTCCACCCGCTCGGCTTGTTCGTGGAAGCGCTCAAGTTATTATCTCGCGATTGGCTGATGTGCATTTCGTTTTCTAAACTAGTTACACGACAAACCAACCTGGAAACTCTTCATCTTTGGCCTTTACAGTGTTAGGGGCTTCTGTTTAAGCTTCTGACGTTGAACGGGCTCAAATAGATGCCCGGTAACCCTAAGGCATGCAGGAGAGTTTCAAATCTTTTATCAGTATTAACGGTTGAACAGTCATTTTTACGCCTCACCGTTCCCCACTAAAAATAGTTGCTTTCCCACCCATAACTGATTTGCACGGTTTTAGAGGGATTTTCTGTCATTGCTTTTTCTGAGAACACCGAGTGCTCAGCGCTAACAGATGCCGCTGGAGTACGTAATTCATTTTGTCACGGCTTTTCGTCTCGAACTTTGTGAAATTTTGCCTGTTCTCAACGCAGAGCTTCGGGCGAAGTCGTTGATCTCAAAGAAACCTGCGGAGTCTCCTTTGCTGCTGCCATACGTAGACTTTTGACCTCTCATAGTCCTCCTGCTGGCAGGACTAAGGGCGTTGGTTTAGATGTTGGGCCGACCTGGCGAGTGGTTGCCCGTCTTGGACTGGACTTCAACATCCCTAGCGGCATCGATGAAAAGGGAGGCTTGCTTCTGCCTGGCCTTCTGCTCTCATCATCGGCAAGCCCAGTCATGGAAACAAGCTCGTCCAAAAGCACGCCAACTCCCAACCCCAGGTCAGCAAAACGTCGACCTAGCAAGCTCCGGAAAACTTCATCCTCACCACACAAGCCCTCCTAATCCTTGTGTCTATGAACACATCATGCGACCCCTTTAAAAGATCCCCATAAGCCTATTTTTTATCTACACCCCTGCAGTACACAAAAGAGTCCTTTTAAACTTAGCTTTCAACTCCTTGAGGGTTTGTGAACGCGGCTTGAAGTTTGGTAGGATCGAAATCTCCAGTACAAGCTTGTCAGTTTCCCGGAACATTAAATGAGAAATTAGAATGGGTTAACACGTGCCACTTTGTAGAAACTTAAGAAAGCGGCCTAATCGTTAGGACTTGATTGCAGTTTTGCCCTTGTGAAACCCAGAGCCCTGCGTTGACCCGTTGACATGTGTTAATGCGATGACGCATGGTTTGAAGATATGTAATTTGATTTTTGGTACAGTATGTGCTTGTCGACACAGCTGCCTCCATGATGGTACGTAGAGGACGTTTATGGTCTTGAAAATGCGGATTTTTAGTAACTTACCTGCCGAATGAAAAATAACTAAAAGATGGTTTAGGACGACCGTACGGTAAAGCGCCAGGTTTGTCAGACATGGGAGTTTTTGACTCTGGCAGTCGTGCGCCTTTCAGGGCCTGGTTGGTCATGCACTAATTTATGTTAGGCGGACGCAAAAGGCATTCCGGTCTTTATTTACTAGCTTAAAGTTATCCGGGTACCTGTATTTACGCCGTGTGCGGTTTTTAACGACAGATACTGCACTCCTACCACAATGGTGTCCTTCTGCCACTATCATTTTTGGCTGCCAAAACCACGAGGAGAATGCAAATTGGGGATTTTTTCCCAAAAGCTCGATAATGAGCTAATAACAGGGGAGATGGTGCAACATTATTTTGAAGCATTAAACAAAGCGACGAGTAATAGGCGCACGATTCAGGTCTGGTCCAGGATATCTCACGACTTAAATATGCCTCCGGAAGATCGAGGGTATCCTACTCTTGGCGGGCAAACGCAGCGCAGTTAGGATGGCCTAGGACCTAAACGTTTATTTAGACACTTGTAGTCATAAAATCAGATCGAGAAGGTGAAAATCCCGAAAAATCGGTCCGACATCAGGGTAATGAAGAACTCACATCAGTCAGTGTTAAGTGGGACTTCTTTTTTGCAGCACAGGACGGTCAAATCCGCGATTGGAGTATAGTGTGTGGCGAAATGTGACTCGCACAAGACGCACAGCCCGTCGGCCAAATGACCCGATGGCAATGAAGCGCGCAAGTGCTTCCCCAAATCGAAGTTGCAACAAAAGGTTTTGGGAACTGCCCCGTGGTCTGCAGTTAGTGGAACTCACTGCAAATCCTTAAATTCAGATGTCACAGCTAAGGTGGAGCGGTTTTATAAACTCACGATTAAATGGAAGGGATGCGTACCTCTCCATGACCACAATAGGTAATGCATTTAACAAAAATCACCCGAAATATTGGATAAGTTAGGTTTCCAATTAACCTTCTCTGCATATTTGGGACACCTACAATTTGCTTATTACGGAGGACTTCCGCTCTGAGGAACTCTTCCCTAATTAAACAGGAAATAGAAGCGCTTTCAGTGAATTCCTTGGCTCTCAAATCTCTTCATTGTGAATGACCGAAAAGAACGTGAGTGCTAGGGCTTTTTGAATAGTAAAGTGTATTTGGATTGAGTTTGTCGCTTTGGCAGTTTACGACCGAAAACGCAAACTGGTTTTCAACAAGGTGCTACGCAGTCGCTCGCTTTTGCCAAAAAAATGAAAATTCCTGTTGATAAAACTGGTAATCCAAGTTCTCAGGAAGTGGGTTGCCAAAGTCACAGTCTTTCTACACATCGCCTATGCGTAGTAGTGGACACTATTTCATCAGCGAGGTATTCAATGGATAGTTCTTCTGCGGCAATCGGCCACCGCCATCTTCGTCAAACTGAGCCTCCGTGATAAGCGAAGTGCTTCAGTGGTCCTTGTTTAGAGGTGTGCGTCAGCTTACGATAAATTTTGCCCGGGCTCTAGATGGGTGTCACTGATGGGTCTGATTGGAGAGTTGTCTCTAGTCGGAAAACGACCGCTGAGCGACTGGAATCTGCGTTAGCAGCCGGGAGTGAACTATTGCGAGATGGCGACAGGGTGGTGACAGTTGTAAGCCAGAGAGTCCAGACTTCATAGTTCCTGCATCGTGCGCCCGTGGCAACCACGAGCACCTCAACTCGTCTGTGCGTTCCCCACTTTTCATCGAGTCTGCAAATGGCTATGTGATTTTGTCCGGAGTCAAATTGTCGAAGCAGAACTTGCTAGAGTAGAGCACGAGGTTTATTTTAACATTCACTCTGAGATTCCCCATCTTAAAAGAAAAATAGCGCACTTTTCGTTCTCCTTATTCCTGTTGTATGTTGTTTTATGCAATGTTGGGGATTCGACACTACTGATGCAAATACCAGCAGTGGACTCGGATAAGTGTTTATCGACGCTTTGCTCATGTGATATTAGAAAGTAAGGGGCGCCCATAAAGTCCCTCAGCACATTATAAAAAGTAGTGAGTTTTGCTGTTAACATGACAGAATCTTTTGTTAAAAATTGTTGTGGATTTTTCGATGTACTTCTTCATTATTGCATTTCCAAGTGACCATCATCATTGTTGATGCATTCGTCACACCGATTCTCAAACCTTTTAACTATATTTCGTGCTTATTACGGTAATACTTCTTCAACTATGCTTTCCATCGGAGACTGTAGGTAACTCCAAAAATAGAAGTTTTGTTTAGTACGCTATTTGTTTGCACGCCATCCAGAGACAAGAATCCAGCTGGGATAAATCAGCAGGGTGCGCTGTCTAGGGTTTTGATCTACTTCCTAGTACCTAATCAATTCGCAAGAACAGAGCGCTTCATCCTCGTTGACAGGGATATTACTCAAAAGATCCACGTTCCGCAATTCTTAAATGGAAAAATTCCTTCAGCATTGTCGGGCAGTTGTTGCCTTTCTCTGTTCCTCGAAGTGGAATGGCTGTATAATATACGCCTCTCTGACCGCGTGAGACGCATTAACTTTTTCATAATACCTCACCTGCTTCCAGTCTTCTGGTTCTTTAGTCCTTCATTTGCGCTTTTTTTGCGATTGGGTTCGGCGCAGACTTGTAGCATTTCCAACGTGTTAGTAGGCGCATGAGATTTTTCAATTTCCAGTTTCTTCCTATGGTAAGAATCTAATCTGGCGTAGTTATCTTCCACTTCTAATTAGTGAACTCGCTGAATACATACACATGGAACTTAACTTTCAGAACCACACGAGCTATTCATATAATTCCGAATTCGTTGAGTG